TTGCTTGTTTATTTGCTTGTTTATTTGCTTGTTTATTTGCTTGTTTATTTGCTTGTTTATTTCTTTATTTAATTAATATTTATTTACATTAATATTATATCAGTAATCAATTTCCATGAAAGGAGCAGAGAGAGGGAAGCGGAGAAAACGGAACATCATACAAACTTGTTTTATTGATCGATTAGAAAAGTATGAGAAAACTCGTTTATGAATAATAAGTGGACCGATAATTTATAGTTTACCATACTGATTTTGAATATAAAATTTAAGTGAAACTAACATGTGAAATGATACACAGTACTTATTTTGTAATTTTGTGCGTTTTAACTCTTACAATTAATAACTTAAGTATTAAATTTAACTGCAATGCAATGTGCTATCTTTTCTTTTTTTATTTTTTTCAAAGTAATCAAATCTTAATTAAAAAATGATTAAGGTTTTTTTTTTGCCTTTTGGATTGTAAATGGTTTGAAAAAAAAGTTTTCGCGATATTTTCTTTTAGCAATTATCTTGAAATATTCATTTCTGCTCTTCCAATGAACTTCTTTGGCTGTCCAAAAAGAAAGAAAAATTTATTTGTAAGTCTTTTCGGAAAGTTATCATCAATTGCCTTTGAAATTTTGTCACAGGTCATTTTTACAATTTAATTATAGTTTCTTTTTCTTATCCCTATATCTAACTAAATGATATAAAATTTCATTTAAATTTCCTATGGGTTATTTTGAAAATATGTCAGGAGATTTTTTTCACAACTTGGAATTAATTTCTTATGTCGGAAAAAAAAATCTCTTGGTAATTTTGAGAGGAAACAAGGAACGATAAGCAAAAACACAAAAACGGTAGGAATGCAAATTAATCATATGCTTCACATAAAATGGTGAAACCTTAATGAAATTAAATTTACAATTTTTGTTATTTTTTAAGGTTTTTTTTTTTGGTAGAGCAGATGTTTCCAATTTGAATTTTAATAGAGAATAAAGATATAAAGATATCATTGCTATAGAAGAAGGACAAAAAAATAAAGACGAACTTTACGTGATTATTCGTTATTTTTTATTTTTCATTAAGAAGAATGAAAAAAGGATTTTCACATAATGGCGATACAATACAGTGCCGTACATGATACATTGTATTAGATTATAAATTACAGATAAGAATATATTAATAATTAGTTTTCGCAAGATTACTGTAACATTTCGTTACTACTGATGATATTGCTGGAGCAAAAAAAAAAAAAAAAACTGAAATATAAACTGCAAATTTCATACTTTTCAAAAAAGTGCAAATAGTGATGATCAATCAATTTGGAAATAATTTACAAGAAAAAAAATCCACAAATAAAAGATTCTTCCATATATTATATCTAAAAATTCGTTTTTAAGAATGTGGAGAGAATATTTTTGAATGACACATTTACTAATTAATCTTTAAATCTTTTTTGAAATACTTTAACGGTTGTCAAAAATTCAGCTATCATGAAACTACTGAAAAACGAAAGTTCTTTCCGACAAAAAATTACCAAACCAGTCCTTTTTTTTTTTTAATGAGCATAATAAAAAAAAAAGCAATTTTAATGACAGTAGAAGAAATTTGAAAGATAAATTTGAAAGAAAATGGTTGACCGATTTTTCCACTTTTTTTAGTTAATCTTAAGGAATACTATTATGTCCAAGAATCCAAGATTTTTTTTTTTTCCTTTTCCCTCTTTCTCTCTCTCTTCATTTTATTGCATGCGATGTTTTTGTTATTTTATTAAATCGGTTTAAAATAAAATCGATTCTTTGCTTTCAAAATTTGTAATGTCTCTGGCGAACAAAAAGAATGAGACGAGAGAAGGAATCAAATTTACATTAATTTAATTTCTTTTGTCCTAATATCCTAAAAATAATTTGACATCAACAATTATTGCTAGTGAAATGATTCTGTAAAAGAGAAATAAACGATGTTAAACAAATGACTGATTAACCGTACCGTCTAATAATCAAAATGTTTAAGAAACAAATGAATAAATTAAGCCTAATACTTTGATGCATGGCTAATATGACTAGTGAGTGAGATACGAAAAGTCATATTAATTTTTTTTCAATTAAGCAGAATTAAATTCTTACGAAATCTTTAACTTTGTAAGATTTTAAATATCCTCTAAAATATTTGAATATTCGAATTTGCATTTAATTAACTAAACAAGCGAAAGGATAATTATTCATTCCGAGATTTCTATTTTGAGCAAAAATCGAGAATTAATGGTTATTTCTTTATTTCCTTTTATTGATGAATTATTTTATCGTATTATTTGATTTTGTTACTGATCATAAATTAAATTTTCGAGTGGCCAGGATAGCTGCATCGGGTAGTATTCATCTTAATAAGCAGAGTGATTTTGATCTTATATTATTTCATTTTCTCCTTTTCTATTCACTGATTTACCATAAATTAAAAAAAAAAAAGCTCACTTATTTACCAAAAATTTTAATTTTTAAAATTGAATTTATGATTTACATATTTTAAATCAAGCATTATGAATTAATTTCCTTTAAATAAAAAAAAAACGAGGTTCAGCTGTAAAAAAAAATTTTCAATTGTCGTGAACAGAAGTATAAATTAAAAAATGAAATGCAAAAACATTGATAATAATGCTTTTTTTCTCAATTTTTTATTTTCTTAAAAATTTATATCAACTTCTGTTTTCATTTGAAGTTATGTCTCTTTTATTCTTTTTTGATAAAAAAGTACGTGTCGAATAGACGTTACTGCTTTTAAAGATGGTTACGTTCACGTGACGGACGTTTCGATGAAACTGCTGATGCATTGAAAAAACATATGATATTTCGCAAAGCATGGGATCTCGATAATTTGCCCAACTGGAAAGCACCCGAAGTATTTTTCAGTTTTTATTGTTTTTTTTTTTTTTTTTTTGGAAAATAAGAGCAGCAAAAGTGCTAGGCACAATGATTGCAAAACAGATTTATACTAATATTTATTTAAAATTTTGATTACTACTTTATTAAAATTTGTTTGGGTATTTGAGAAATTATTAAAATTTATTACAATATTTGAGAAATTATATCCAAAATTAATATGCAGCACATCTTAAACAGTCATTGTAATATTTCAATGACTTTATTACAAATAATAATCGAGTTAATGAGAGAAGTGAAAATAAGTTACAGAAGAAGAAATTCAAACAACTTCTAGCAATTAATAAATTGCAATGGTAAAGAATAGCAATATCGATTGATTTTTAGGATATTTCAATGCAGTTCTCTTCATTTCAGATTTTAGAGAAATACTGTGGTTATGGATTTTTATCAGATAAAGATGGTTTTCCCATACTTATGTCTTTGTTGGGTAATATGGACGTTGAAGGTGCTGTATTGCCTTGAAGATTTTAAAGTTAACAAACAGTCCTTTTTAATCTCAAAACTTGATTTTAAAACGCCGAATAACATGTGATCTTTGCTTTACTATATCAATTGTCCTTGACATGTCTTTTGAAGAGTTCTTAATGAGAGAAAAGATCAGATCATTCGAGCACCTGAAATGGCAATGCTTGCATTCAATACGATGACCGCATTTCTAAACGATAAAATATATATATATAATATATGTATCATTAATAAATTGTCCTTTATTGAGTTAGTTGAAATTTTAGTTTTTTAAATTTTTTTATATAGGAATGCTGAAATCGGTTCAATCCAGTGACTACATCAAATATTCTCTCGCTGCAATTGAACGGGGTATGCGATTATGCAGCGATAAATCCAAAGAGGTCAACTGTTGTGAATTGAAATTTAAAGATTTTTAATATATACTGCTACTTATTTCATCATATTTCTGAATGGATCAAATGGAACAGTCAAATAAATAAATTGAACTTTTTGAATATCTGAATAATTATTCATTGTGTATTTATTTATTGAAGCAAAGAAAAAAAAAAAAGATTTAAAATCAAATTATTCATATCCTGAAATTAATTAATTGATAATAATCAAATTTTCTTTTTACAACTAAGCATTGCTTAACAAATTCACCGTAATCACCTATTTTTCTTTTCCAACAACTTTTATTTTTTTTTTTTTTAAAAATATTTGCGTATTCTAATCCATAATTTTAATTTATACAATTTAATATTAGTTTAAACTAAA